AATTCTTGTCTTAAACTGGCCCATATCACCGGAGCAGAAAATCACAAGTTACAATTTTGTTCCTCACGTACAACTATAATATGCCTTCAGGAAATTTGTAATAGACTTTTATGTTGTTGTTGTTGTTTTTTAGCCCATTTGAAAAGTGCAGCCTTGTATACCTTTCGCAGTGTTCTGATTTATTTCTCATTTCTTTAGATATTGAAATGATGGAAGTTACTCAGTCACACAGATGCAGAGCAGAAGAGGCAGATTTGATAACTTTTAACAAGAAGTTGGACAAACAGTGAAACACTTATTTAAAAAGGATGTTTACAAAAGAAAAACAATAAAAAAACAAATTAACTAAATGGCAGAACCAAAAAGACATCAAGTGTGATTACACTTTTGGTACAATATTCTTCCACATTCATAAGTTTATATAACATAGCTCATTAATATTTTTGTAGTTGTCTGTCGTTGGAATTAAAATTGATTTGTTTGTTTTTACTATTTTTTTTTATTCTTTATTTAACAGGGACAATGGGCAGTCAAAGACTGCCCCAGAATTAGCTACAGAGCTAAATTTCATCTGCAGAGTTAATGTTTGTTTTTTTATGAACGGCCTTCAGTCTTTACCATCGTTACTTCTGAGTCTGTCATTCATATTAAATGTCATTTTAAACTTATTTGAAATATTTATTTTAAAGAGCTTTAAATTAACAACACATCTTAATCATGATAAAATCAAATACACAGCTTCTCGCTTTAATAAACCACCACCTCTTTCACTGAAAAAGTGCACACAATGGAATCGCATTGTTAATTCTGTGCCACAGAAACCCAAGCACATGGGGTATGAAGTGATAGGTGTGTTACCAGCCTGCACATATCACATTCAGCTTTTAGGTAGAACAGTTCCCGTGTAAGTGTGTTACTGTGCATTGATTTGCATTTGACCTGAATCCTTAAGGTGATGATACACGAGGCAATTTTTTGAGCAGTGTTGCCAGGCAACTTTTTTGAGCAATGTTGCTTGGGCACTTTCCCATTGAGAATGGGCAACAAATTTCTTTTTGGATACTTTAGATCGGTCGAGGGCCCTGTGTCTCACCTGGTTGCCCGTTGATGGCAACATTGCTCAGCAACACTGCTCAAAAAGTTGCCCTGTGTATCATCACCTATAGGGACTGGTATATTAAAATCTGGTCTGAGTGTATATGATAATAAAAGGCACATGGATTCTCACAATATACGTCCTCCTCACTGCCCTCTGAGGTGTAAAAGCTGTGGCACTGCCTGCTCAGTGTCACTTAGGAGGTGTAATTTATTCATTGCCAGTGTGTGCGTGTTCCTGTGTATCTTCTGGCATGTGTATATGCATGTGGGTGTCTTATTTCCCTCTAACGAAGGAAAGAGAAAATCTTCCCTGCTCCTGCTCCTCCCTGGACTGGTGGTTGGTGTCTGATGGCTGTCTTTGGAGATTAGTAACTTTGTTTTACACCACTGCACTGACCAGGTGTTAACATCAATATGCTCATGCTGCAAACTAATGCTACACAAAGCCTTTCATTAGTTTGCTGACACTGATTCCTCAACATCCTGACACATTTAATGGGTTTGGATGTTATTCTTGATATTATAAAGCAGTAGACAAACCCTAGGGGTTCCCTTTCAGTCGGTCACTCTCGACGTCACGTCGGAGGACCGACGAAATTGGGATCTCGCTTAGAGGGACCAATCTACTTCGAGTGTAAACTAAACGAGCCAATGCACATTGGCATGCAATTATTGCATCCAGCTGCTGCTGATCACAGCGTGAGTATAAGTAGGCAGCAGGTGCAGCGCATATTCAGCTTTTCGCTGCGGAGCCGAGCGATCACATCGTTCCGCTCCTGACTACTCTACGGAGAGAAGACTGCCTCCTTCAGGGAACGAGGGTTACATACGTAACCGAGACGATCTGTGGCAGGACTGCAGGGGGTCTGCCAATTATTGTCTCTTGTCAAAGAAAATGTTTGTGGAAAAAATAACATATTGCCAAAAATACAATATTAAGTTAACTTTAACCAAACATAAGTTAAACTAGTTTCATTGTTCTTCCCACAGTAATGATTATTTTCAATGGATTTGAAATGTAAGCATAGTAACAAAGTACTTAAATACATTAAAGAAATAGTTCATCCAAAAATGTAATTTAATGTCATAATTTACTCAAGCTGTTCTAAACCTGTAATTTTTTAAAAATTTTTTGGGTGGACTGTCCCTTTATTATGGCAGTACTGCATACACAGATGATTTTATTTTGTAAGCTGATTATGATAATATGTGAACACACATTTTGATCAAATGAAATTGATCAAATGTGACAGTAAAGACATTTATAATGATACAAAAGAGTTCTATTTCAAATAAATGCTGTTCTTTTGTTTGTTTGTTTTTTCAACATTGATATTAATAAGAAATGTTTCTTGAGCACCAAATCATCATCTTTAGAATGATTACTGAAGGATCATGTGACACAAAAGTGGAGTAATTACTGGAGTAATGGCTGCTGAAAATTCAGGATTGCAGGAATAAATTACAGTATATTTTTAAATATATTAAAATGGAAAAATGTAAAATTGTAGCATTTCACAATATTTAAGTTTTACTGTATTTTTTATCAAATAAATTATCTTAGTGAGAATAAGTTGACAAAAAAGAAAGATAAAAAAGAAAGAAAAGTCTCACCAACCCCAAACTTTTGAACGGTGGTGTATATCTACCATATTCATTGCATTTTGCTCATTTTTCATGACCAAATGAAAGGGAATCATAAAGAGTAATGAACAATAAAATCATGAAGTCTGTCTTAGAGAATAGAGTTTGCTTGAAGTTTTCATGAGGATGTGATGATGATTGCAAAGAGCTGCATGCAGGCTTAATTGCATGAACTTTGAAATATTTTAGGGAAACAAATATCACTTTTTTTTCAGTTTATGACACATAAGATCTGGCTCAATAGTTTGCGTGTGCCTTGCCCATTTTAAAAGCGTAGCCCTGTGTTATGATTCGTTTTCACATTTCTCTAAGAAATTGAAATGATGTCAGGTATTATCTTGCTGGCTACTAATACGTTATTCACACAGCATACACTTACACTGATGCAGAGCAGCAGAATATAACAGAAAGCTGGTTTCTCAAGGCAGATTTGACACAGGAAGCAGGACAAACAGCGAGACACCTAGTGCAAAGGAAAACAACTTAAAAACTTATGGACAGAATGACAGAACCCAACAAGACAACAAATGTGATGACATTTCCGGTGCAGTATTACTGGCACACTTTTAAGTTCAATAATAATTGTATATTTGGATGGTGATGGTATGTTGCAGCTGTCCATCAGTTGTTTGTTTCTTAATGAGCAACTTTCAGTTTCTACCACCGTTACTCCTTATATTCATGTTAAATGTTTTCTGAAGGGTTTTGCATACTTTACGGATCTGTTATAGCCTGTAAAATGTACATATATAAAATGTACCTATATAAATGTCAATGAAATGGCAAAACATTCCGCTTGAATTTTGTTTGAGGTTTAGTGAAGCCATGCCTGTATCAGGAGTCTTTCCTTCCTAAATCATTTACTGCATGCACCTACAAGTTTGAGTGGTTTGGCTTCACTGATGTTAGCGTGCTGATTCATGCTTCCAGAGAAAAGATGCATGAGTGTCAGCACACAAAATCCATGGGCATGTTTCTCATGCCGTGCTGCTACAGTAAACCTGATCTCTGCCCAAACCAAAAAATACAACCTTTCAGCCAAACATAGACCTGCTAAAATTGCCTCTTCAGAAATGTTCACTGTTTTCCACAGCTTTATATCATACATCATAAAAAGCTGTTTAATTGCATTTGTTGTGCCAAAGTGTTGGAAATGAATGGTGGTGTGATTTTTAAACCATTTGCATTTGCAGACTTAAGCTGAAGAAAAAAGCTTTTAATTACACAGAAGCGTATTACACTCTGTGTGCTATCCTGTCCCAGAGATTTCTTCCTAATGTTTCAGACATTTCCTGAAATGTTCATCCAGGCCAATGTTTGTTATTCAAAAGCACTCAGGTTCTGTCAGATTAAAGGGAAGAAACATGTAAAACCCCTCACTTGAGTGAAAAAACATGACCTCTCCCATCTTACACTCAGTTCACCTCACTCACTGTGAAGTACTGCAGCATGGTTCTGGAGCCTTTTGAAGTCATTCTGCCCATGCTGTTATTTGACTTGAGTTAGCAAACCATTTTCCCATGAAATAAATGAACTAAAGAACACTGTTGAAGCATGTGTCTGTGTGAAAAAAGTACATGCATAAACATCACGCAATCATTTATGAATTGTTGACTACAGCAGTGACCTGATACACGCTCCTACAAACATCATTGCACCATTTCATCATTCATCTGGTTTATAATCCAGCTAATCAGTCACCAGACCGTGGGAACCAGGTTATTCACATTGCTGTTTTAAACACGGTATCAATATGAGGATGTAAAATAGATTTCCATTGTTTGATAATGGCTACACACTAACCCAACTCTAGAATAACTGACAAAAATCCCTATATTATTATACTTCAATAATTAAGTTTTTTTCTTCTTTGAGGAACGCCTCCAGATGCCCTTTTACCAGTGGTTGTGTGAAGTTAATATAAAAAACTCTTTTATTTGAAAATCATGACATCTATTCATATAGCTGGCCCAACAAATGTTATACTTTCTTCAATTCTCTCCCATATATTGTCTCAATATAACGCTACTGTTCAGAAGTTTAGGATCAGTGAGAATTTTTCTTCAATAAATTAAACTTTTGAATGGTAGTATAATAAGTCTTTCTTTCATTTTGAGTCTGTAGGTAGACTAATATGAATTTTTATGCCTGTGCTTCTTGCGCCATTGTTTTGTGTTTGTCTTCAGCAAAGACTTTGACTGTGGAGACGTATATGTCTGTGTATATTAGCTAACCAGCTCTTTCTCTCTATCTCCCAGCGAGCGTACACTCTGATCGTGGAGGCTTGGGACTGGGACAATCAAACGATCTCAGACAGCAGTGACAGCAGTGAGTAATAATTTCTCAACACCTTGACACGCACCACCATGCACTGCGGTGTATAATTTTTCATCAGTACCAACAATCTCTCTCTTGAGCAAGTTCACATCTACAAGTGACACAGAAGGTTAGATTTGACATTTGACTGTATGAGAAACATACCAGGATGTATAACAGGATTTCTGGAGTGAGATACGAGATGTATCCATACAGTTAAAGTTACTCAAGCCAGTGTAGAGGGACTGATGCATTAGCCTGGGATTTGAAGTATGCTGTGCTTTTATGAGAAATTCTCTGTAAGTTCTGAAATTTTCCGAAGTTTGTTAAATTCTCTGTAAATCTTCTCCTCGTTGTGTATCAGAGTGAGACTACGTCCTGCTGTTTCTTTTAGTACAACAAACAAAGCAGGTGGCTGATAAGAGTATTAAGACAGAGTTGGATGCCTGTGGTCCGACGTGTCTTTGAACCGGAAAGGGTTACTGACAGGCCCATCAAAGAATTTGCATGCACAGAACTTTACAGAAAATTACAAAGATTTCTGCAGAATTCAAATGCATGTCATGCACTAAGTTCCACACATCCTCCCTTACATGCTTGTGGTTAAATATTTTAGCTAAATTGGTCTACATTATTAAAAATATATAGTAGCCTATAGTTCTCATTAAAAAGTATCATACATAAATTAATTGTACTTATGAAAAAAAAGTTTCATATAAACAGACGAGATTAAAAACTGAATTTCTGTAATGTCAACAGTAACTGAAAACTCATGATTGCATATCGACCAACCGTATATACAATATATATGTATATGTGTGTGTATTTATTTATAACCAAAACATTTCTGAGTGCATTTTTAAACCAGGTTTGGTTTATAGTTTTCAACACTGCAAAAACTTTCTTGATCAGAAAGCACTCTAGGTCCACTCTAATAGAAGGGAAACCCAGTGTTCAGGACATGTTAACACACAGTGTAAATGTTGATGTGTGTGTGTGTTGTCTTACCCAGATGTGTCCTGTTTTCCTCTTCTCCTCCTGTGGTTATCCATTGCTCCATAATACATGATGACTCTGACAGGAAGTACCATTAATGAAGAAATTCATGTTCTGGGAGTTGGCTGATCATTTACAATGTACACTATAAACCCTAACAAGCTAAATACACTCAAAGAATTTCAGACAATTAATTACCTTGAAGAAATTAAGATTTCATTTGCCATCACAGGAATAAATTACATTTTAAAATAGATTAAAATAGAAAACAGTTTTAAAAAAATTTAATAATATTTCTCAATATTACTGTATTTTTGACCAAATAAATGCAGTCTTGGTATGTAAGCATAAAAAAATGTATTTAAACGTAATCAAAAAGCCAAATAATGGGGTTTTCATAATGAGAAGTTAAGTCAATTATACTAGCAAAGCTGAGCATTATTGAGACTGGACTGGAGATTCACGTATTCGACTGGATAGTTTATGTTAGAAAGTAAACTTATTTTATGTGTTTTTGGAAAAACAACTAATGTGGAGTGTTAATGTCACTGCTATGTGAGGATTACTAAGCAGGTTGTTCTGGGGTTACTGCTGTGGTGATGGCTAGAGTCAGGTTTGATCAGAAACAAGCAGAAAAAAGTTATTAGGCAAAAATGTAGATCAACTGTTCTATAACAAGCAAATAATATTCATTATATCCAATAATATCTTATTGTATAGGCTAGAAGAACAACAATTATTCTACTGCCAAGTAGAAGAAACAGAGGTAAAACGTCTATGTACACTTGTGTAAAGCTTCATTTTACACCTCTCTACACTCTTAAAAATAAAGGTGCTTCAAACGATGCCATAGAAGAACCATTTTTGGTTCCACAAAGAACCATTCAGTCAAAGGTTCTTTAAAGAACCACCTCTTTCTTACCTTTTTATAATCTGAAGAACCTTCTTTCACCACAAAGAACCCTTTTGTGAAACAGAAAGGTTCTTCAGATGTTAAAAGTTCTTTATAGCACCATTTAGACAAAAACGTTCTTCTATGGCATCGTGAAGCACCTTTATTTTTAAGAGTGTAGACACTTTACAGTTTGTATAGGTTAGTTTGTTTATTTGTGTATGAATATCTCGTGTGGCTGTTTGTTGCTAGTGTGCTATTGCCCTTAAATGTACGGTGGCCGAGAGAGCTCAACGCGCTGCAACTTTAGAAAACACATGCAAACAGAAAAAGCACCAGCAAATTAAGAAAACATCTTCATCAGCACATGTGCCGCAAATACAGAATCGTCCTGCAAATGCTCACAACACAACCAAATACAGAAACGTCCTGCAAATGCTCACAACACAACCAAATACAGAAACGTCCTGCAAATGCTCACAACACAACCAAATACAGAAACGTCCTGCAAATGCTCACAACACAACCAAATACAGAAACGTCCTGCAAATGCTCACAACACAACCAAATACAGAAACGCCCTGCAAATACTCACAACACAACCAAATAAAGAAATGCGCTGCAAATGCTCATAACACAACCAAATACAGAAACGTATACAGGTACAAATACAGGTCTGTACAGACCACAACGGGAGGACCCCAACAATGCCAAAATTACCTCAACAAAACGAAAATTAGCCTTTTTATTTTTTATATTGTGATTACCATTTGTATAACCACAGTTGTACAAATACCATGGTTAAACTATGGTCAGTGTAGTAAATCCATGGTTAATTTGTGGTTACCATGGTTTAACTATAGTAACCATTTTTTGTTTTTATTTATTTTCTTACATAATGTGTTTATTAATTAATTAATTAATTTTAATAGTAAAATCATATGATTAATTTTTGTAAGGCAGGTTGTAAAGTTAGTCAGCTTACATGCTTTCACAGTTACAGTAATTGTGATACAGTAATTTCATCAGCTTATTTAGGCTAATAATAAAAAAAAAGAAGAAGAAGCAAAGGAATCCTATGATCAGGATGTTAAAATAAACAAAAATATCACCTTTCAGAGCAAACATTGATAAATATGTCCCAGCCATGTTCGTCGCTTTGCGGTTCCCTTAAACATTTCCAATGTGGTCTGTGCCTATTTGCAGCGCGTTTCTTTATTTGGTTGTGTTATGTTTTTCTATTTGCATGTGTTTTTTCATTTGCAGTGCATTGAGCTCTCTCGGCCACCGTATTAATGGGCCATGTAGGTTGTTTTAGCATGCAAAGTAAAACTGTTTATACTCAGCGTGTCATGTTTAAAGTCCCTGGAGAGAGTTTGGGTCTAAACAAAGAAGGTCATCGCCTCGTTAAGACATTAATTATAATTGCTCGTTATTTTCCACACATGTCTCTGAGCTAGTTATTGTCTGAGCAGCTGCAATGCTACTATTTTTCACACTACACGCACACATACAAACAAATACACCGCCGCCAGATAGTCATAAAGCAAAAGGCTTCTTACAAGACTGGCATGAATATACTCTCTCACAAATGCACACACTAACAAGTCACTGATATGTTCACATGCACAACCCTGTCGGAAAGTTGTCATGTGACTTTTTGAAGTTCAGCACAGGATGTTCATTTGCTTCAAATGGAGAATAGATCTCAGACAGACAGACCATGAGCAAGATCTTGTCTGCATTTTTTTGAGATGATCACCCAGATGACAAGATGTTGATGTTGAGACATCAATAGGTGAAGAGGCTGTGAGAGGCTGTGAATGTTCCTGATGCATTATGGGTGGAAGGGTGCCAAGAATTACTGTTTGCTAATAGATAACTTTTTTTAATTTGCAAGCTGTAGGTAAACATTTTTTTTCTATTATAGGCTTTTTAATTAATAATTGGTAATATTTGATTAATACAATTTAAATATAAAATGTAATCTTTAATATTCTTATTTAATTAATTCTTATTTAATTATATATTTAATTCTAAATTATATATATAACGCTGTATAGTGTTTAGTGTGTGTATATATACATATATATATAGTTTTAGAAAATATATATTTTTATATATTTTTCTTGATTTTTATTTTTTATGTAAATATTTACTTTTATTAATCTTTACTTTAATATTGTGTAATATTTCTTCTTATTAAATACACATCTTTAGGTCTTGCATAATTGCATGCTGTTGTTATTATTTTGAATACTTATAATAATGACAAAGTACTTCTTTGAAAGAAATCATCATCACAGCGGGTGGTTTCTGTGTTTATATTTGTGCATGTTTTGTTTCCTAGACACCACAGACATATCTGCTGTCAGCAGGAGATCAATTCATCATCAGGGAGTCATACCTGCCTCACATTTTCATTTTTTTACAGGTGTTTTTTCCAATGCTATCTTCTAGAATTAGCTCACAGATGTAGATCAGGCCTTGAAGTAAAACAACAAAAAAACAAAATCTGGCTGCAAGAAGGTTTTAGCGTTTGCAGGGCATCAGGTAGCGGGGGCCCTTGGAGGAGAGGGTCTCGCGGGACTGTTTACCTTTCAGGAAGTCCGTCTCTCCAGCTCTACGTTTGGACTCTAAACAGCTCTTTCTGGCCAGCAGGTCAACTGCATTGTTCATGTATCGTCAAGGGGCAGAGAAAGGGGCGTTATTGTGTTTCACTTGTGCTGTAGTGCTGGCTGGTAGATCGCTAGATGGTAATAAAGTGGATAAGTGGAAAAAATGCAAAAGGGAAGTTAAGAAAGGTGGGGCACATTAACATGGAGGAAAACTTAGAAAAGTGGGCGAGAGAGCATTGTGTAATTATAGGGGAAATTATTTGGCCTTGTCTGACTCTTTGGTCTATTGTTTGTGATCTGTTATCGCCGTGGCGATGGGGGCCAAATCGCACCCATTGTGATGGAGGCAGTGAAACTGAGCAAACTGGAGACAGACCGATGAAGAGATGTGAATGTGACAGAAAGAAAATAATAGGGAAGAAAAGAAACTAAGAAAAGATACTTTGTTTTTAAGGCTAACAGTAGCCATCATCTGTGTTTCCTGAGATTTTTCTTTATCTAAAGCTGTTGTTATGAGTTAAAGACAGTCTCTCAGATCAAGGATGAAGTTCTAGTGTTGATTGAGCTCACGGATAAACACAACTGATTACGTTCCAGACCAGGCGAGAGCCGTTCATCTGCTTACCTGTTTGATAGTTAGGGCTCTTATCCTTGTGTGTGACTGTGTTCTTGAGCTGGCTTATCTTCAGGGTCTCCCCCCCCACACACACACACGCTACTGTGACTCTACCCAGTAACAGTCTCTAGTGTCTCCTTCAGCTTATAGAGAGGGAGTGATTGGTGTGTATTTTTGTAACTAATTGCTGTAGATGAATTAGGAGTACTAGATTTTTTTATATTTCTAAGTGGGGGGAGAGTGAGAAGGGGAAGAGAGGAAAGCAAAAAGGGGGTTGGCACATTTGATATAAAAGAGCGTGTCGAATTCCTTTTTTTAGTCGGAAAGTAGGGAAGTATGTCAAAGCTTTTGTTCCACTTCTGGAATCGTGTGTCCATTTAAGGAAGAGAGCAAGTGGACTGAGATGGGGCGAGCGGGGTGATTTCGGCTGTGGGGAAGGATTCGTGAGAGAACGTGCACAAGGACAATTTATAGAGCACCTTGGCTGGCAGTCAGACATAATGACCTGTCAGAAATACCACTGCCATATCTCTAAAACATCCGACAATTTTGTTCTGTGTGTTTAAAATATATTCTGCATTCCAGTGGGAGTTATATATATATATATATATATATATATATATATATATATATATAGAGTGGGTACAGAGAGTATACACACCCCCTTATTGCAATATAACAAAGAGTGAAAAATTTAAGAGGGTCTGAATACTTTCCGTACCCACTGTATATATATATAATATAGTATCTCACTACCATTCAAAAGTTTGGCAAGTGTTAAACTCTCTTATGCTCACCAATGCTGCATTTAACTGCATTTAATGTAATAATTGTATATACGTATAATAATAATAATTGTGAAATATTATTACAATTTAACATGAATATTTTCTATTTTAATATGTTACTGTTTAATATTTTTATGGAAACCATGATCATATTTTTTAACTGTTCTTTGATGAATTAAGTTCAAAAGAACAGAATTTTTGTAATCAAATTTTTGCAACAGTATAAAATTATTTACTGTCACTTTTGTTTCCTTGCTGAATAAATATAATATAAAAATTATTCTTACTGACCCCAAACTGTACAACAAATTCATACATGGAATGCAACTCAAAGTGCTTCACAAGCATAAAACAAATATTAAGAATACAATTTCAATATAAGATAATCAAAACTCTATATGATTCAACAAGTGTAAACAAATATGAACAAATATAGAAGAATCAAAATGCAAAATAAATAAATAAATAAAGCAAAAAACCCAAAGCGTAAAATAAAACACTGCAAAAATTACACAAACTTCACAGACTATTATACTCATAAGCAACTTATACTCTGGCTGTTGCATTTTGTATCAATTGTAACTTAACTATAGAACCCTTAGGTAAGCCAGTATACAGTAATCAAGTCGAGAGAAGATAAATGCATGAATTAGTTTTTTAGCATCATTAAAAGAAAAGAAAGGATGAAACCCAGCAATGTTTCTCAGGTGATAGAATCAAGTTTTTGTATTTTTTTGTATTTTGTATTTTGATTAATATGAGACTTGAAACTCAAATCACAATCCAAAATGATACCCAAGTTCTTTACCTCTTTCTTAGATTGTAATGCTAAGGAACCCACTTTTAAAAGCATTAGGAAAAATGCCTGTCTCCAATTAATTATTTACTATGCCAAGGACGTTGTCAATCAAACAGTTCGTAACGTCTTTAAAAAATATAGGGATGGTAAGATTCACCGATTCGCATCGGTGCATTGGCATAAAACCACTGCATAAAACCATCACCACAGCTGCTACGTGAATATGATGTATCACAACTGTCCTGAGAGTCACATATAATATAGATTAACATGGCAGAGTTAGAGCTGCATATTCCACCAAATAATTACAATGAACCAAAGAAATAAAAGCAAACTATCTGTATACCGTCTGTATACCATATTGAATTGCATAGCATCATATTTTTACATTTCCCTTTTATAATGTGTGTGTGTGTGTGTGTGTGTGTGTGTATATATATATATATGTATATATATGTATGTATATGTATATATATATATTTCCATTCACATCATTTATTGTACAGTTATATTGTACAGTTTGATGCCTAAATTAACTTGTAGCATTTAAACGATTAATTTTAGTGTAATTTATTTAGACAAATTAGTGTAGATGGTACCACTCATATTGGTAATATGCAAATGAGTCTCTGGCCTCAGGTACATGATTGGGCTTCTGATGATCATGTCACCACCTCATTCACCCATATCCCTATCATATCCCTAGACGATGTTATTGCTAATTTAATCAGGTGTGAATTTCTTGTTTGGAATGGAAAGAGCTGCAATGTGAGAATCTCAAGCCAACACCCACCTTCATGAACAGCATAGATTAGAGATTTGAATCATTGTTGATGTTGTGTTCTCTCGCACTTTAAGAAGCTGTTTGTCTTTTTCACACACACCCACAAACAGACTTTCCCTTTCCCCTACACTGCTACATTGTGACTGTAGTTCTTCGCAAGGTCACAGCGTTTCTCTTTGCTATAGAGGGAGTTTGGATGTGTGTGTGTTTTCCTTGGAGGGGTGGGGGGGCTTATCTGTTCCTGATTGTATTATTTCCTCACTGGCTCCCAAGCAGTCTGAGACAAGTGTGTGTTCCACTGAAGCAGGAAGACAGGCCGTACTTTGTAATACACACACACACATACACAAATAAATGAACGTTTCTGTATCTCCCATAGGTGATGATCTGTTGATTGAGAGGAGTGTTAATCGTGGAGAAATGAACCCTGGAGAGGAGCGACAGCTCATTCAGCACAAGGGCCGAACAGCCAGCATCCAATACAGTGTGCGTGTGCGCTGCGACCGCCATTACTACGGCAACAAGTGCAATAAACAGTGTCGCCCCCGAGACGATTACTTTGGCCATTACACGTGCGATCAGTCTGGCAATCAGCAGTGCATGGAGGACTGGACCGGACAAGATTGCAAGAAAGGTGTGCGAGTTTGCTAACACACACATAAGATAGCAGCAATTGGCAAATGAAAATTATCCAACAATCCAATCAAGTCCCATCCCACATTTTTTCTAGTTTAAGAAATTTCACTTGGATATAAATCACATGGGCAGAAAAGATGCTCACAACTTCCGTTTCATACCAACTTTAAGTTTTACGTTTTGTTTTATGTTATGTTTTATGTTATGTTTTACGACAACATTGTGTAAGATACTGTGGTCCATGAATTGAATATTACTGTGAGTGATTTTGACTATGTTGCATGCAACATCACATGCAGCAGTGTTTTAAAAAAGTGAGGATTTCTTGACATGCACATTTTTGGCAGCAAAAACTAAGATTAAGATCCCTTATCTGTTACTGTAGAATGCAGTGACTTCTTATGGGGTGGGCAATATGACCAAAATCTTTTTCAACTATATGAGTAATTTTATTTCATGATAAACAGTGTTACAGTAAGGTTGTAACTTTAGATGCTAATGAAATATTGCAATTATTGATCTATAATTGATCAATTATTGATCACTGCAGCAAAAAAGTAATATAAGTACAAAGTTCCTAAACAACATACTAAACTTCAAGCAGTTTATACATATATTTACACACAGTATCCATAACATAAACATTATAGCAAAATCTCTATCAAATGACTCTTCATATTATATTATTATGTTGCCAGTCTTAACTTCTTATTTTTTTTTACAGGTAATACATCCCATTTATGATAAAAATTTTCACGTTTCCCTGACCTCCAGCAATAAACACATTATACGTGTGAACACCTTATTATAATTGTCATCAGTCTGTGACTGTAAATTACATGTGTAAATCAATGGAGAGCAAAGAAATATAATAAAGCTCATTCATATTTATTTGTCTTTCAGCTATCTGTAAGCAAGGCTGCAGTGAACTTCACGGAAGCTGTGACACTCCGGGAGAATGTGTGTAAGTGTTAGTTGATCTCTCTCTCTCTCTCTCGCTCTCTCTGTTCAGGTCATGCATCCCGACGAGATGAATGAGTCTGTTCATTAGAGTAAAATTGTTTCACACACACATTTTCTGGCATACACAGCAGCTTTAAATAGTCTTGAATGAGCTGAGCAGACAACTGAATGACAATATGACAATATTAGCTCCGCCTCCCTCATGAATGTCTATATTTAGAATGGAATATTAGCTTATTACTGAATACTCTGCAGTAAATACTGGATGTTATTTTTAAATATATGAAAATGAAAGCATTAAACATATCAAAGTGTGTACGGTCTATGGTACTGTACTGTTTACAGTTATAGACATGAGCTCACTACGTTTGTCACATGATCTCTTCACATTTGCATGTTTAATTTGGCCAGTGATCACCTTTAACATTTTTATTAAAAATATTTTTAAATTTGGCTGTTTAATTAAATAATCAGTAAAGAAATAGATGTTCAAAATGGTAGTTCATAGTAAAAGTGTGAACATTGTTATGTGTATTGAATTGTCACCTCTCTCATGAGTGTGTCTCTGTGTGCAAGTCCAGTTTCATATGTCTGAATGACGTTTCTTTTCCTCTGTGTTAATTCAGCCAACTTTTAAAGTATGTGAGGTGGAAATGACCTTTGACCACCAGTCTGTCTGGAATTCATTGCTTTCTAAGATTAGGAAAGAGACAGAGGTCATGACCTGTGTCTGCTACTGGAAAGAAGTTTACACTCCTGTCTCCGTGATACTCAGACTTCCCTCATAGAGTTACCACTGTAGTGTACATGTGCAATGTGTGACACTACCATAAACTTATATACTAAATAAAAAGAAAGTGGAAAATCATGCTAAGCTGACATGATTTAATAGGTTTAACTGCTGTTTGATAAATGTGTTCAATGGTATAGCTTCAGTTCCGGGAGGCTTGTGCAGAAATATCACACACACACTCCTGTTCATTGCTCTGTTGGCTTTGTAGGTGTAAGTACGGCTGGCAGGGCCCACTGTGCGATGAGTGTTTGCTGTACCCGGGCTGTGTGCATGGCACCTGTGTGAAACCCTGGACCTGCACCTGTGAGAAGAACTGGGGAGGACTTCTGTGTGACAAAGGTAGGTTGAATTGCCTTCTTTTAAAGGGGACATTGGATTAATTTTTTACTTTGTTAGCCGTTTTTTTTGCATTTAGTTAGGTTTCTGGCATGACTGCCAGCACAGAATAGCTGAAAAGAAAACACACAGCTAGTTAAAAAATAAAAATAAATAATTAACTAATACTTTTATCCAGCAAGGTTTGAATAAAATATACAGTAAATATGTTTATAATGTTATAGGAAATGTTGCTTGAGTGCCAAATGAGCATATTATTATGATTTCTGAAAGGGAAGGGTCATGTGACACTGAAGACTGGAGTAATGGCTGCTGGAAATTCAGCTTTACCATCTCAGGAATAGACTACATTTTAAATATATTAAAATAGAAAAGAGTTATTTTAAATTGTAATAATATTTCACAATATTACTGTTTTACTTTATATTTGATCAATTAAACGCAACATTGATGGGCATAAAAATCTTACTTAACCCAAACTTTTGAATGGTAGATCTAAACAATTTGTAAACATGCACATTCACAAAATAACCCTTTTATATGAGATTTGTGGTGTTATTAAATGTTTTGTTAAGATATTAAATGAATGCAGTTGATTCATGCAGTTGGTCTGTTCCCTTTCACTTTATAACATTCACTGACATCCACACATATTTTTTTGCTCTGAATGGAGTGTTACAACTTTATCTGCCATATGCTTTCCTGCTAGAAAAGACTGATTTTGTTTTATGTATTTGTTTCTGTACAGATCTAAATTACTGTGGCACACACAAGCCCTGTGTAAATGGAGGCACGTGTCTGAATACAGAGCCAGATGAATATTTCTGCTCCTGCCCAGAGGGTTACTCTGGCAAAAACTGTCAAATCGGTGAGAAAGCTTACTAAAACTCTGACAAAAGTTGTCATATAATTCTCAAAACTATTATTAAAGGGGTCATATGCGATTTCAAGTTTTCCTTTCTCTTTGGAGTGTTATAAACTGTTCGTGCATAGATAAGATCCCTAAAGTTGCAAAGACTAAAGTCTCAAACCTAAAGAGATATTCTTTAAAAAAGTTAAGAGTTGTCCACGCTCTCCTAAATGCCTAATTTAAACACGCCCCCACATCTATGTCACTGTGTGGGACGATTTGCATAACACCGCACAAATGTTCATGCAAATAAAGGCGTAACTTTGATTCTCGCTGTAGTATTGTTGCTGCCACCGCCGCCATATTGTGGAGACGCTGTGTGTTTCGTTGCGAAAGCCAAACTACTTGGCTCACGGCTAGAAATCAGTGGTTAAGTTGTATTTACAACACTGTTCCGGAACAGTACAACCCAAATATTCGAGTGTGTGCAGAGGACTGTTTCCTGAACCTAACGCAAGTTTTGAGTTTGGATCGTAGCGCTTGTTGTTTGTCCTTTCTCAGATCACAAATACATACATGGTTTTATGTTTACGCAGCACGATAGCACGATATGCAGTGCGTAAAAAAAACAGTATAAGTCATTATAATCCGTAATTATGTCCCCACTGGATGCAACAAATGCCTCGTTTATAATGGGTTTTAATGTTTTTGTCTCATCGCTCTGGCCGGACAGGGCATCACAATATGGTAAGGGGCGTAACATTTCCGTCACACGCTTGAGGTATTCGGCCAATCACAATAATAATACTAGCCTAATAATATAAGTACAACTTTCCCAAGCAACATAATAAAAAACTTCAAGCAGATTTTGTACATGCGTTTACACACATTATCCATGACATAAACATTTCGATTCACATATGAATCGCGATTCAGTCTTCTAGCGATTCGCATCGATTCACAAATTTCAAAAATCTATTTTCTAGTTAATATAATAATAATAACATGTTGTCGGAACAAAACAGCAACAGCAATGGAGAAGGAAAGCAAATACATATTGCCCCATTTTCAGCGAGGGCAAATGGTTGGAAAATATTATATTAATTATTTTGTTATTGTGGGGAAGTGTAAAATATTGTTGATTTATTAGGAAGTTAATAATTAACAGGAAACACTGATTTCTTGAGTCGGGACTACACATACTATAGACTGGTGTGTTTTTGTATCAAAATACTGGTGCGTTTGACATCCAGTGTTCACAAAAAATTTGATGAAAAATCATGAATCGTGATTAAAAATCAAAAAATTGTGAATCAATTTTTGATCGAATCATGACCCCAAGAATCGATATGAATTGAATCGTGAGGCACTGAAAGATTCCCACCCCTACACTTTATATTATATGATTACGTTGCCAGCCTTAACGTCATATTTTTACAAGTAATACATCCCATTTATGATCAAATTAAAAAATGTCCTTGACCTCCAGCAATAAACTCATTATATGTGTGAACACATTATTGTTGTCATCAGTAGTGTAATTTACATGTGTAAATCAAAGGAGAGCAAAGGAATATAATAAAGCTCATTCCTAATTTCTTTGTCTTTCAGCTATCTGTAAGCAAGGCTGCAGTGAGCTTCACGGAAGCTGTGACACTCCGGGAGAATGTGTGTAAGTGTTAGTTGATCTCTCTCTCTCTCTCTCGCTCTCTCTGTTCAGGTCATGCATCCCGACGAGATGAATGAGTCTGTTCATTAGAGTAAAATTGTTTCACACACACATTTTCTGGCATACACAGCAGCTTTAAATAGTCTTGAATGAGCTGAGCAGACAACTGAATGACAATATGACAATATTAGCTCCGCCTCCCTCATGAATGTCTATATTTAGAATGGAATATTAGCTTATTACTGAATACTCTGCAGTAAATACTGGATGTTATTTTTAAATATATGAAAATGAAAGCATTAAACATATCAAAGTGTGTACGGTCTATGGTACTGTACTGTTTACAGTTATAGACATGAGCTCACTACGTTTGTCACATGATCTCTTCACATTTGCATGTTTAATTTGGCCAGTGATCACCTTTAACATTTTTATTAAAAATATTTTTAAATTTGGCTGTTTAATTAAATAATCAGTAAAGAAATAGATGTTCAAAATGGTAGTTCATAGTAAAAGTGTGAACATTGTTATGTGTATTGAATTGTCACCTCTCTCATGAGTGTGTCTCTGTGTGCAAGTCCAGTTTCATATGTCTGAATGACGTTTCTTTTCCTCTGTGTTAATTCAGCCAACTTTTAAAGTATGTGAGGTGGAAATGACCTTTGACCACCAGTCTGTCTGGAATTCATTGCTTTCTAAGATTAGGAAAGAGACAGAGGTCATGACCTGTGTCTGCTACTGGAAAGAAGTTTACACTCCTGTCTCCGTGATACTCAGACTTCCCTCATAGAGTTACCACTGTAGTGTACATGTGCAATGTGTGACACTACCATAAACTTATATACTAAATAAAAAGAAAGTGGAAAATCATGCTAAGCTGACATGATTTAATAGGTTTAACTGCTGTTTGATAAATGTGTTCAATGGTATAGCTTCAGTTCCGGGAGGCTTGTGCAGAAATATCACACACACACTCCTGTTCATTGCTCTGTTGGCTTTGTAGGTGTAAGTACGGCTGGCAGGGCCCACTGTGCGATGAGTGTTTGCTGTACCCGGGCTGTGTGCATGGCACCTGTGTGAAACCCTGGACCTGCACCTGTGAGAAGAACTGGGGAGGACTTCTGTGTGACAAAGGTAGGTTGAATTGCCTTCTTTTAAAGGGGACATTGGATTAATTTTTTACTTTGTTAGCCGTTTTTTTTGCATTTAGTTAGGTTTCTGGCATGACTGCCAGCACAGAATAGCTGAAAAGAAAACACACAGCTAGTTAAAAAATAAAAATAAATAATTAACTAATACTTTTATCCAGCAAGGTTTGAATAAAATATACAGTAAATATGTTTATAATGTTATAGGAAATGTTGCTTGAGTGCCAAATGAGCATATTATTATGATTTCTGAAAGGGAAGGGTCATGTGACACTGAAGACTGGAGTAATGGCTGCTGGAAATTCAGCTTTACCATCTCAGGAATAGACTACATTTTAAATATATTAAAATAGAAAAGAGTTATTTTAAATTGTAATAATATTTCACAATATTACTGTTTTACTTTATATTTGATCAATTAAACGCAACATTGATGGGCATAAAAATCTTACTTAACCCAAACTTTTGAATGGTAGATCTAAACAATTTGTAAACATGCACATTCACAAAATAACCCTTTTATATGAGATTTGTGGTGTTATTAAATGTTTTGTTAAGATATTAAATGAATGCAGTTGATTCATGCAGTTGGTCTGTTCCCTTTCACTTTATAACATTCACTGACATCCACACATATTTTTTGCTCTGAATGGAGTGTTACAACTTTATCTGCCATATGCTTTCCTGCTAGAAAAGACTGATTTTGTTTTATGTATTTGTTTCTGTACAGATCTAAATTACTGTGGCACACACAAGCCCTGTGTAAATGGAGGCACGTGTCTGAATACAGAGCCAGATGAATATTTCTGCTCCTGCCCAGAGGGTTACTCTGGCAAAAACTGTCAAATCGGTGAGAAAGCTTACTAAAACTCTGACAAAAGTTGTCATATAATTCTCAAAACTATTATTAAAGGGGTCATATGCGATTTCAAGTTTTCCTTTCTCTTTGGAGTGTTATAAACTGTTCGTGCATAGATAAGATCCCTAAAGTTGCAAAGACTAAAGTCTCAAACCTAAAGAGATATTCTTTAAAAAAGTTAAGAGTTGTCCACGCTCTCCTAAACGCCTCATTTAAACACGCCCCCACATCTATGTCACTGTGTGGGACGATTTGCATAACACCGCCCAAATGTTCATGCAAATAAAGGCGTAACTTTGATTCTCACTGTAGTATTGTTGCTGCCGCCGCCGCCATATTGTGGAGACGCTGTGTGTTTCGTTGTGAAAGCGAAACTACTTTGTTTGGCCTTTCAAAAGAGGACACAACTAGAAATCGTTGTATTTACAACACTGTTCCAGAACAGTTCAACCCAAATATTCGAGTGTGTGCAGCGCATTTTATGGAGGCCTGTTTCCTGGGAGAGTAGCCTACAATGCCGGCTGTGGTACAAAGACTGTTTCTATAAAGTGGGGCAATTCCAACTTTGCAAGGACAGTCTGGCGCTTCTGACTCACAGCCTGTAAGTATGTTTTCATATTTAAAGAATTTTCAAAGAGTTTGGATCAGTGTAGAGTAGCGCTTGTTGTTTGTCCTTTCTCAGATCACAAATACATACATGGTTTTATGTTTACGCAGCACGATATGCAATGCAATGTGTAAAAAGACAGTATAAGTCATTATAATCAGTAATTATGTCCCCACTGGATGCAACAAATGCCTAGTTTGTGATGGGTTTCATTGGTTTTGTCTCGTCGCGCTGGGACACGGCATCACAGTATGGTAAGGGGCGTAACATTTCCGTCACACGTTTGAGGCATTCGGCCAATCACAACGCACTGGATAGCTGGCCAATCAGAGCACACCTCGCTTTTCAGAACGATGAGCTTTGTAAAAATCGACGTGTTTCAGAAAAGCGGGGCATAGAAGAGAAACAATAATGTACAGTATGTGGAAAATAATGTGTTTTTGAACCTTAACCCGCATAAACACATTGCATTACGCGTAATACACAAAATAATGTTATTTTTAGCAACATCATATGACCCCTTTAATAGAATAATCTTTATATAGAAATGTAGGAATGGCAAAAATAATATATAGATAAGAAATGCTTATGCCAACCTGCAATTTGAGTTTAACAAGGTATACCAAATTATGTGTGTGTGTGTTTGTACCTTACAGCCGAGCATGCGTGCATGTCAAACCCATGTGCAAATGGTGGGACATGTCATGAGCTGGCATCAGGGTTTGAGTGCCAGTGTCCCCCAGGGTGGGATGGCCCAACTTGTGCTAAAGGTCAGAAGTCATTCACTTTTTATTGAATCTAGATGAGGCAGACTATACTAGAAATGTACATATTATGCATATTTACTTTAATCTTTTTTACATTTTTCGTTCGTGTGTGCACATTTCAGACAAAGATGAGTGCATGTCAAACCCGTGCGCTCATGGGGGGACCTGCTTTGATCTGGAAGATGGCTTTGAATGTTTATGCCTCAGACAGTGGACTGGCAAGACCTGCCAGATAGGTGAGTCCTAGTGTGTGCATGAATTCATATGATTGATTTTATACTCAAATCTATTGGGGGCCACAAAACAGTACTACGTTTAACTGGATCGTACCATGTCTAAATAGGGGGCCGGATGGCACCTCTCAAATATCAGCAGTTCTGTGTACATAGTGCTTGTTGATTGTAATGAGGTGTGTAACTGAATGTTGCGTTTACATCTTACACCACAAATTACTCACAGTTGATTGTTTTACAGTGCGAGTGTGCGTTTTGATTGGTTTTTGTGAGTGCATGAGCATGTGATATGCCTGCAACTATGTATATATGTTGGCATTGCGTGCTTGTATGTTTATTTAACCTGAGTTTGCGGGTATGTACTGTATGTGTGTGATATGGAATTTCGTCCAAGGTTGTGTGGTCATAGCAGATAGCTGAATATTATCTGCAACTGGACCCAGGTGATTTAAGTAAAGCTATATATATCAACGGGCCTGGCAACTGCCAAGACAGGGGCTAAATTTATCTTTTTGTGGGACTATATTAGAGTGATCATGGGGTGGAGAAAGAATCTCAAAAGGGGTGTGGTGGAAGTATTTTACTCCACTGATAGTGCTACAGGAAATGCTTAATAACCTGTAAACAAGCGCATTGTGGAATTGTAGCCGTGGTGTCTGGTTATAGGGGACGGGTTGGGTTTCCCAGGTTGCACTCCAGTCTCAGGTGTGGAGCGGGCAGGGTTACCTGTGCAGGATTGAGAAGAGAGTTTGATTTCATCTGTGGCACAACATCAGTCCCATATAGCATACAGCGCCACACACAACTTTTATTTGCTTTTTATACACACTGTAGTCACCTATACACATTAAACATATTAAACATTAAACACATTGGCAGGGTTTACCAAATGGGAGTTTGCAAGGGACCTGCACATGGTTCATTAGTTGTTGAAAAAGCTAATGATTAATAATACTGAATGTAAAATTAAAATACTGTAAATAAATGGGGCTATAAATAAATGGGATATAGTCTGATGTGCTGCATGTTTCAAAGTTATACTGCACATTTCATTATTATAATGATCAAATAAGAAAACTATTGTAATTCACAACAGTAATATATTGTGGTCTTTATTTTTATAATTAAGTTAAAACATACTAAACTACTAGTAATATTCATGGTTATTATAATTTTTTTAATTAAAATATATATTTTTATTAAAATATATATTGCTCTATAAATCTATATCATTATTATTATTCAAATAATAAAATAAAATAAATAAATAAAATTGTGGGGGTGAATTTGAAATAGTTCGATTTTTAGTTGCCTTATTTTAATGCTTATGTCTAATACTAAATCATTTTAAGTAATCTTGAGGCCCCATTGAAAGTCCCCCTTGTTGCCCCCCTACTGTTTTAGGGAGACTCAATGCTTTTATGAGATAACATGAATATTTAGAAGAGATCCCTTCTTTTTATGAGCTTCTGGTATGTGTTTTGGAGGTGTGATATCACTGATACTGTAGTAGTAACACACACAGGGGAATTTAAATGTAATGCTGTGAGTACAGAGGATGTGAATATGCCACAGTGCATCATGGGAATCTTAGTTTTTTTATGTGGTTTGACATGACCAACGTCTTGAGCTTGGTGGTGGGGCTTGATCTTCCATGCTGTCTCTAGCTCCCCTCATTCTTCTCTTCTCTCTCAAACAGATGTGAATGAGTGTACAAGGAGACCTTGTCAAAACGCTTATGCTTGTAAAAATCTAATTGGTGGATATCATTGCAACTGCTACCCGGGCTGGGCGGGACCGAACTGTAATATCAGTCAGTATACAAACTCTATGAAGTCTACAAAGTATATATCCCTTATACGCTTCCCCTCTTTTTCTGCAAAGCAGTCAACTTTTGCTCTTCTTCCTCTTCTCTAACGCTGATTAAAGCTGCTTTGTTTTTCATGAAGCAGAAACAGCTTTAAAGCAATAGTGCACCCAAAAATTCCCAATGATGATCCAAAACCATAGAAAATGTTCTTATCCACCATACTATAAAAAAAGGCTGAAATGTAAGTCATTATTCATTACAACCAGTTTTGTTAACTGGATCAATTAATTCTTAGAAAAGAACGACTCAAATAAATGATTAGGTCTTGTGAATGTTCCAAGAAAAGCATTCTGGTCTGTTACATTTTGCTCTGTTTATCACACCAAGTCATCATGTAGCTTCAGAAGACCACTTTTATGCTTTTATTGTACTTTTTTGTCCTTTTTGAAGCTTGAAAGCTTCTTTTTAATTGCATAGAAAGAGTGACCAACAGTCTTCACAATTAATGTATACAACACAAACGTGGTCATTTTTGAGAAAGCAGTGAGAGTAAAGATGTATTTTCCATCTTCAATTATTCTGAATTGCTTTGTCTCTTACAACAGGTTTTCTCCTAATTGTGCATTCTGTTAATCTGCCTGCTCTTGCATGTCTAAAAGCCATTTGATCTCTTGTTTTCTTCTTTTTCTTTGTGTTTTTACACATTTTGGACCAGAATGTTATGCTGATTGTGTTGATGATTATTTTCCAGATTTCAACAGCTGTTACGGTCAGTGTCAGAATGGAGGAACCTGTCAGGTAGGCATATGCCTGTTTTATTTGGCATGTCTGTTTAGAAATTCTGGGTTGAATCAGTTGCACTGCATCCTCCACAACCAACACTCAAAACAGTGCAGTAAAATGTTTCTTTACACTGTTCTGATTCACGTAATTCAATTAGGTAAACAAGACAGTGTGTGCAAATACTAAATGATGCAATTAGAGGCCAGATTCATTACTGCATTTATTGTAGACATTAGTGAATTCCTCCCTTTCTGGCTTTTCTAACATTTCTGTGATTGCTATTGCCTTTGATGTTGCTACTGTAAGAAAAGTTTTTTTTTTTAATAATAGCAGACCTTAGTGAAAATAAACAACTTAAACTCAAAAGTTACACTTTTTATGGAGATTAAGGATAGCAAAATTTGCATGTTTCTTCTGTTCTCAGAGAATCAGTAGATGTTGTCAAAGGTGTGAGCACACAAATGGTAAAGATGAAAAAAAATTAAGTAGGCGTTGTTCCTTAGATAGTTAAGCATGTTTGGGGGATGCAGTTATTCTTAAAGGGATTGTTATCTGTATGACTTATTTTCTTCTGAGAAATGTCTCAGGTGTTTTTTGTTGTTGTTGTCTATAAAACAGAGGCCAAAATGGTTTGATTATCAGTATTCTTCAAAATACCATTTTTTGTGTGTTCCTCAAATAAGTCATTTCTTAGTTCAGTTTTGGGTGAACTATCCCTTTAAGAAAATAACATGTAATGGAATTTAAATTGGAGCAAGTTATCATTTCTTGGTTATTAGCTGACTGATTTTTACAAGCTTTCTTGGGCTTCTGCCCTGCACACCTGCGAATCGTCTCCACCTCTGTGTGTTTTTGTTAGGATGGTCGTCTTGGTTACGTGTGCCAGTGCCAGCCGGGCTTCATGGGAAGACACTGCGACGTGCAGCAAAGCAGGTGTGCCAGCTCCGCTTGCCAAAATGGTGGACGCTGCCGTTCACTGGCCACTGGTTATGAGTGTGAGTGTCTGTATGGATACACCGGAACCAACTGTGAGGTGAGGTCAATAATTACATACAAAGCACACAAAGACCTTTCTTTTTCAGTCGCTCATTTCCTCTCTCTGTCTCTCACTCTCTCTGTAGCTGCAGGTGGATCTATGCAGTCCAAACCCGTGTCAGAATAAAGGCCAGTGTCACTCTATGCAGGGAGATTTTTACTGCGCCTGCGCAGATGAATATGAGGGGAAGACGTGTAGTCAGCTGCGAGACCATTGCAAAATCAGCACCTGCCAAGGTAGACAAATGACCTCACTGAAGTCCTCATAAAATGTATGATGTTTCAATTAGTAGAACACAGCGCTGTTTGATTCTCAAGGAAAGCGCTAGATAAATTTGCTGATATTACACATAAACTTAAGTTTGATGCCAATATTTGTTAAATTTTGTTTTGAATGGCGTTCTTTTTCCTCATTAGTGATTGACAGTTGTACTATTGCCGTGACAACTAATGGCACAGCAAAAGCAGTTTGGCACATCTTATCAAATGTGTGTGGTCCTGGCGGGCGCTGCATCAGTCAGTCAGGAGGAAACTTCACCTGTGCCTGCCAACCAGGATTCACTGGGACATACTGTCATGAGAGTGAGTAATATAACGCACATCCAAACACAAACCATTATTAAAGCGTTATAAGCAGTATGTACAGTATACACACACATCAATTAATGGGGGTTTCTTTCTAATTTCTCACTCAGATATAAACGACTGTGCATCATCTCCTTGTCAGAATGGAGGAACATGCATTGATGACATTGACTCCTTTCGCTGTGTCTGTCCTGATGGCTTTGATGGACAACTCTGTGAGCTGGGTAAAAATAACACATCTACATGCTTAACTTAGCTAGTAGTGGAGCTCTAAACACGTTTAGTCCCTAGAGAGAGATTTATTTCCACAAAAATAATGATATTTTATCATATTTTCAAAGAGAAAACAAATATATATATATTTTTTATAATATTTCACAGTATTACGGGTTTGATCAAATAAATGCAGTCTTGCTGAAATTTACCTACCTTGAGCTTCTTTCCTCAATACAGGTAGCTTGTTTTTCTAGCAAGATCTGGCAATGCTGATCTGAGTCTGCTTCAGTACAGGGTCTAGCTTATAGTTTATAGCTTATATAGCTATAGTTTATGTGTTTTACCATAATCTTCACAATTAGAATTGAAGTACTCCAGTTTAATTTACAGGAGCAAACCGCGATTGATGTATAATCTTTTTTAATCGTGATTATAATCTTCTCTTCAGAGGTGAATGAGTGTAGCGGTGAGCCTTGTCTAAATGGAGGTATGTGCATCGATCTGCTGAATGATTTCTACTGTCGCTGCACTGACAACTGGAAAGGAAAGACGTGTAACTCGCGTAAGTGAATGTATGTTTTAGTTTTCATTTTAGGCATCTAAATGTATGTACTTGTACTCAAAGTAGATTTGTTGTAACAGGAGACAGTCAGTGTGATTCCAGTACATGCTCTAATGGAGGAACATGCTATGATCATGGAGACTCATTCCGATGTGCGTGTCCCTCTGGTTGGGGTGGCAGTACCTGTAACACAGGTGAGATAGAAACCAGAACACCTCCATGTTGACCTCATTTAGTCTATATTTTTCTGACTATCTCTGTCTCTCTCTCTAGCCATGAACAGCTCCTGTGAATCTGGTCCGTGTCTAAATGGCGGGACTTGTATTGGAGGGGGCAGCATCTTCACCTGCATCTGTAAGGATGGATGGGAGGGGCCTACCTGTGCTCAAGGTAAGGCCACGCCCACTTATGAATTTCTCCCAACTCTCCCTCTTTTCCCAAAATATCTGCCAACTATCCTTGTGGATGTGTAAATGTGAATACTCCCACGTGTTTAGCTGTGATTGGTCTTCAGGTGTGCTGGCAGGCCGTGATTTGCCCTGACAGGTCTAGTTCTGATATATCATCTGGTAGTTCTGCCTTCATGAGATGTTTTCATTCTGTTTTCAGATGTTGATGACTGCAATCCTCATCCATGGTAAGTGATGCAACAGATAATGTAAGTGAAGAAAAGTACAGAAAAGAGGACAAAACCATCACTCCTGTAAACATGTCACTCACAAAACTTTGGCTGAACTTTTGAATCTGAATATAGAATGTAAATGTGTCTAAACCCATACATCTATTGTAGGCAAATAAAGCTACTAGTTAATGCATCTGTATCTTGGTAAGCTGGTCAGATCAAGTTCGTACTACTCAGATGCTGTTTCTCTTTCCCTCTCTTTCCGTAGCTATAATGGGGGACAGTGTGTGGATGGGGTCAACTGGTTTCGCTGTGAGTGTGCACCTGGATTTGCAGGACCTGACTGTCGCATCAGTGAGTAAATAAATATGCAAATATCTCTGAATATGATTCAGCGAAACAGCAAGGACTATGAATATTCATGACATGACATTCCTTACAGGTTTTTGATTATTAAAACTAGGGCTGCACGATAAATTAAAGTTAATGCTGCTCCATGTGAAAGGTGATGGAGATTTACCGCTGATTACAGAATGGCTTTACTGACAAGATGCGCATTAAATATCGCATGTGATTTATCGTGCAGCCCTAATTAAAACATTTAAAAAAATACTTAACATAAATACTTATTTAAATTTATATAAAAATATTAATATTAAATATTAATTTACAAGTGGAATGTTTGGAAAACCTGTTTGAACACAGACATTTCATTTAGTGCAACTAGGCGAGCAAAAATTACACATTTAGCCTTTAAAGCATGAAGAGGAAATTCAACCTGTCTATTTTATAAATGCATTTAAATGAAAATTCAATTTGTGAACAATTCATTCATGCATATGTTTTATTGAAAAACATTTTTAGCTCATCATTTTTAATCAAATATTAATCTTCCTGTGAAATGACAGACTTCTCTCTGGTGACATATGCTTTCTTACAATCAGCTGCAAGCTTGCATTCATATCTGCCTCAATCCAATCAAAAACCAATGAACTGAACCAAGTCATCGTTGTGCTTTTTCTTTTTTTCTTTTTCAATGAGCCATTTCACTCGGATGTATGTCACAATACAGAAGAATAGATCCGATGCTACTTTCGATACATTCAGACTAACACTCTACTTCTGTCACTCACTCGATCTCAGACATAGATGAGTGTCAGTCCTCTCCCTGTTCGTATGGAGCCACATGTGCGGATGAGATTAATGGATACCGCTGTCTTTGCCCCATGGGACGAGCTGGACCACGCTGCCAGGAGTGTGAGTTCCCACTGACAGACCACCCTACTTGTTTGCATTATGAGAAATGAAGTGTTGAAAATCTTTGCTGTCTATTATGTCGTGTGAGCCCACCTTAACTTCGGCCAAACAAAACTGGACTAGACTAAATTGCCTGTTTCAGTGGCTTTCAACAGGGGCCTGTGGTGGTACTGCATGGGCTCTGACAACTTTTTTGTGGGAAAATAAATTAAAATATGCATTAAACTAAAAAAACTGCTAAATGCATTCAGCTAAATGTTTCATTGTCCCTTACAAATTAAAATGCATTGAGTAAAATGTTATGATTATTTATTTATTGAAATGATGGGATGGCATATTATTTGATGCATATTATTGTAGGATAGGCTTACACTGCAACATTCAGTTATGTACAATATATAATGGAGGTCCCTGCTCCATCTCGCTGCATTTATTTGATCAAAAATACAGTGAAAATACATTAGTTTATTTCAAATCAATTTTGTACAAGCCCAAATAATTTTTTTTAGGATTTTTTGATGGATAGAAAGTTCAAAAGAACAGCATTTATTTAAAACATTATACATTTCTTTACTGCCATTTTTGATCAAGTTAATGAATCCCTGCTGAATAGAAGTATTCATTTAAAAAAAAAATGTTTGTGCATGATCTGATCTCTTTTTCTTTCACTGTGTACCTCTTCATCTCTCTTTATCTGTAGTTATTGGTGTTGGAAAGGCATGCGATCGCTCTGGGTTGCAGGTTCATCATGGTGATCGTTGGGAGGATGGGTGCAACAGCTGTCAGTGCATGAACGGAAACATCAGATGCACTAAAGTGAGTCCAACAATCTACCTCAGACTGTGCTACTGTACTACTACCAATTGCAGTCACATGCAGTGTAAAATAAGTTAAAAATGCATTAAGGAAATAATTTTGTTCAAACTCACAAACATAAAAAAAATATATATTTATTTATTTATTTATTTTAAAGTGACATGTGTCCAAGTACGGTGTCCCATACTCTGAATTTGTGCTCTGCATTTAACCCATCCAAGTGCACACACACATACCCAGAGCAGTGGGCGGCCATTTTTGCTGTGGTGCACGGGAAGCAATTGGGGGTTCGGTGCCTTGCTCAAGGGCACCTCAGTCGTGGTATTGAAGGTGGAAGAGAGCGCTGTACATTCACTCTCCCCACTTATAATTCCTGCCGGTACTTAGACTTGTACTGAGACTCGAACCCGCTACTTATGTTATCATTTATTATTGATATTATTTATTAATATTATTTGTATTTATTTTTAGCTCCATGTAGATATAGATTCATTATTAAGATTTTTTTATTGTGACAACAGGTGCATTGTGGTCGTCAGCCCTGCTTGCTGCAGTCAGACTCTGGTGATCTACAGCGTCCTGTGTGTCCTCTTGGACTGGAGTGTGTAGAGAATCATTTCCTGTCTTGCCTTCATCCACCATGCAATCATCTGGGTGTATGCTCCACTCGTGAACATCTACAGCCCTTCAGCACTCCGTGCCTACCCAACAATGGCTACTTAGATGACAACTGTGCTCGTGTCACGCTTGTATTTGACTCTGACAGTGTCCCGCAGGTAAGAGTTTTTCATTTAGTAAATGCTGAAAGTACAGAAAGACAGATAGATTAAATATATACAGCTCTTTATTTCAGATACACTTGATTTTTCCAATCAAAATGTTGTGGGTTTGTTTAACAGGGCACTACTGCTGAAGGTGTCTGCACACAGCTAACGTATCTGCCAATCACACGAAGCCTGGCCAAAGACCACTCCCTCTACATTCTTTGTGACCAATCACCTTCCAGCCAAAATGCAGTGGCGGTTGCTATGGTGAGCTAACTTTCTGTAATCATCAGTCATTAATCCTATAAGATTACCTCATCTGCTCAGTACTCATGTTCAGTCTCAGAGCCGCTAAGAAAAAAAGGAACAAATCTTGACATATAACATAAAAACACTGTTAAGAAGACAGGACATAAAAGAAGGTTAATGCTGAAGATTTAACTTTTTCTTGTCACCTGAGGTTGTCAGATCATTATTTTTTTTATTAGAAGCTGTTTTCAAATGAGTTTTCAAAAATGTTTGACCTTGAAGAAAATCCCAAGTTTCATGGTGATAAACAGAACTCTGGTGACATTTATATCTGCGCATCTCGTAAAAGGAATTACTCTAAAATAACTTGAAGGCAGTGTAAAACAGTGTGCATCAAAATACAGAATTTTTTCATCCAATAACATGCTTTTCCTGAAAACATCTGTTTTCCTTCACTTTGAAGTGTTTATTTCTTTTTTTTCCATCTCGTCTCTCCTTTAAAACATTTCCATGTCCTTCTTCCAGTTTTAACTTTTTCAAAAAAACGCCCCTTAAATCACAGTCAAACAGCTTCCAAAGAGCGCTTGTAAAAATTAGATCCTTTTGTGAATTCAAGACTGACTTTCTTTAATTTCTCTTATCTAAATGTTTCTTTCACATCAAAAATTCAGCTTTTCTCCTTTAACATACCTCACCTGTCCTGCTCTACACACTCTCGTCTTTATCTCCTTCACTCACTCCCAGACCATTGCTGTAGCAATGCAGACTCTTGGGGAAAGCTCTGGCCCTCTACTACTTTAAGCCCTTAATGGCCTGAATCTTAGTTCTTCTCTTTCTGTGATGTTGTAATGCTGTTAAGATTTATGTTGTAACATTAAAAGTTTTCCGGAAAAGGAGCGGTAACCTTTTATGGTGTGAGCTCTCAAAAGACTGTGCTTTGTTCTGAAGTTATAAGCTCAGCATAGGGACGTCCCCTGTGGACTCCAGCGTGGTTATACCCTGACTATTACCACAGACAACTACATGTGGCTGGCCATGAAATTTAAGGGAAAGGTGAATAACTTGCCCAGTCAGGTCTAACTTCTTTCATTTCTGATCCAGCCATTCTATTTTCCTTCCCCACTCTAAATTCCTTCCCTCCTATTTCATGCTGTCTTTCTATCTTTGTCATTCCAATATGTCTCCATCATTCCTCCTTCCCTTTTCTCTGACTGTCTTTTTTTAGTTTTGATTTTAGTATGCTTTATTATGAAATCAAAGGGAATAAAGAAGTAATATTATTACTTCACAAAATTTTATTTCCAGATTCAAATTAGATTTTCCCCTTATTAGTTATCCTAATAGGACAGGGACTTTCTCATTGCTTGCTACATAATCAAATGTTTGTTTTATTTGTTTTATTTTGTGGTTAAATTTTTCCTGGATGTCGTCATTTTTATTCCTGTGTCTGCCTGTTTCAGTAGTGAGGTTGTGTGTGCTGAGTCTCTAACAATATCGCTCTTAGTTTTTTTTTTTTGACTGTTTACAGATATTCCACCATTGCGTCTTTTTAGGGCAAAATAGCATTCCATTGACTATGTTGTTGTTGTAAGTGAGATAATTTATGTAAATGTAAGTAAATCATCAGGACTACAGCTAAGAAAGGACTTGAGTCTTTGTAAATATTAATTTGCTCTTTTTCTTTTTGATTTCCGCAGTCATATGAGCAAAACACTGTTGTTGAGGGACGAGCTCAGATACAAGATGTTGTCCACTCCATCATTGATGTTCTGTCCAAACCTCACAACAGCACGTTACTGTTGGCTGTGAGAGAGGTCAGAGTTGACACTCAGGACCCGCATCCTCAAGTCGGTGAGTCAGATGTGTCTCTTTTAGACATCATAACATAAATCGATTAACATAATTAATCCTTTTCTGAATTAATTATGATTTAATTTATTTTTAGTTTATTTATAAAATTATTTAAATCTATATATTATAATAACAATAATAATCAAAAAGTTTGGGGTTGGTAAGATGTTTTCTATTTTAATTTATTTAAAATTTTTAATTTATTCCTGTCATGGCAAAGCTGAATTTTCAGCAGCGTTTCCTCCAGGCTTCTGTGTCACATGATCCTTCAGAAATCATTCTAATATGCTGATTTGATGCTCAAGAAACAATTTTTATTATCATGTTGAAAACAGTTGTGCTGCTTAATTTATTTTTATTTTTTTGAGGAAACTGCAATACATCACTTTTGATCTGTTTATTTTTGATAAAATATTAAATTTCTTAAAAAAATCTCACTGACCCAAACATTTTGAATGGTAGTGAATATGATTTTTTTGTGTGTGTCTCTCTACAGGTTACCTCGTCCCTTTGCTTTGTGTGCTGTTTGTGGTATTATGGATCTCATGTGTCATCATCTGCGTGTGGTGGTTCAGAAGACGCAGGAAAGCTAGACAAAGAGAGGACACGCAGATGGAGGAGAGCATCAACAACCAGCGCGGGACACTACTGAGCACTCACATACCTCACAAAGACAACACAGACCCGCTGCAGGAGAACAAGAACCTGTTTTACCCTCTGGATCGGGTTGGAGACGGAGCTGAGCGAGAGGAAGAGGAGGAAGAGGGAGATGAAGAGAGCGACAGAGGGCTGGTTCTGCATAAGTGCTCATCTCTTGCGGACACTATAGGGGATGCAGTGTACACTATTCACACTACAGCCCAAAATCAGCCAAACAGGACACACTACAGCAGCAAAGAAAACCGCTGCAAGAACAATGTGAACGAGAGTTTAAGCGAGCACATAAAAGATCATTACGTATGAAAGAACCAGGCAAACAAGAAAAAATATAAGTATTTTTTTGCTGTCTGATCTGAAAGCTTCTGGGCTTTTCATTCTTTTTTCATCATTGTGTAGTCAAATGAAACAGGGATTTGTGTCACAAAAATGCAGCAAATGCGACATTCAAAGAATGGTTTTCAAAATCCTTTTTTTTTTTTTTTTACACTTGCACTCACTTTCCTTGAAAAGAAGGACATTTTTACACAAAGCTGAACTTTAAGATTATGTTTGTGAACTGTGGCGAGACCTTTGACCCTTGAGGCTGAGGAGTAATCAGCGATAGGCAGCTTTAAAGTGTTTTTGATTATGTCCAGATCTGCCCAAAGTCAAGTGTTAGAAGCCGTTAAATCTTCCAGAGGTATATATACACAAGTGCCTCACTGTACCGTCACAATAGCGCTTACCTTTTTTATTTCTCATGATGCACATATGTTGGTTCTTGTCTTTGTTAACACATGCTATAGACACACTTAAATGTATAGTTTACCCAAAGGAAGATTCTGTTATCATTTACTCACCCTCATGTCATTCCAAACCTGTATGACTTTTTTCTTCTGTGTAACATAAAAGTGTAGGAAGTCACACAAAATCTGGAGCTTTCACGCTTCAAAAGGGATGCAAAAGCACCATAAAAGTAACATAAGAGTATCATAAAATTGCTATGTTATATTCCAAGTCATCTGGAGCCATATGTGTGAAGAACAGACCAAAGCATACATTATTATTCACTAATATCTTACCTTCTGTTGGGCTGTTAACCATTGTCATTGGGTTTGAAAACCAGACCATTCAGAGTTGAACTGGATCAACTGATTAATTGAAAATCTCCAACTCAAAAGAATAATTTGTTCATGAATCAGACAATCTCTAGCACTCTCATCAAAGAGATCAAGGGCAGATATCAAGATATTATGTGAATAACGAAGGAAAGTTTGTCCTTCACACAAATCTGTTGTATGACATCAGAAGACTTTTTAAAGAAACATTAATTTTTAAGACCTATTTATGGTGCTTTTTTGTAATTACAGAGCTCGACAGCCTCAGTCCTCATTCCTTTTTGTTACACAGAAAAGAGAATAAACGGCATTTGGGTGAGTAAATGAAGACATAAGTTTCATTTTTGGGTGAACTAAGATACTGTTAAGTATAAAAGGCTTACTTTTTATATTGAAATTCACCTTCTTTGGGAATTGGTACTCAGTCCAGACAGTAAGAGTATTCTGACTGATAATCTCTCACTCAGCTCTTGATGGTTAGAAATGATTGCTTTTGTCTTTTTTCATGTGACAGCCATATAAACAGAACAGTCATGATGTAAAGAATCAAGGGCCACTTCAGTCAATACACTATTGTGTTGTCCCAAAACACTTAGGTTTTTGGTCACACAGTAGGGGACGATGATTTTAGTTCTTTAATCACTGAGAGATAATTAATTAAATTGAAAAATATTCATATGTACATATGTAAATAGTGAAAAAAGACATAGCTGTGTATTTTTGAGTTTAGTAAATTATGTGACACCTTTTTATTGTCTTCCTTAGAATTATTACTTTTTCTTATTCTCTCCTTTAGTCACTCTCCTTTTCAACAGTGTCATTCCTTTTATTTATGTTGGTCAGAAAATGTTTTATATATACAGTAAATATGTAAAATGGCCACAGGTTGGTAGTCTATCTGTGGTGACTTTATAAGAAATACTTTAAATGAAATATGATCTATTTTCATGTTAGAATATATTATCTGTGTTGTTTTTATGACTTTCCTAATGAATGTCGACTAAGGATTGGACATATTGACCATGCTGATAGAATGTTTTGCCACTGATCAAATGCTGACTTCTTCTGAAGGTCTACAGTACTTCATAGGAGAAAGACTCAAAGACTTCAAAGAAATATGCTGCATGTTCGAGTGGCACTTTTTTCTCCTTCGAACAGTCCAACACTTGCATTTTCAAGCCAATGTCAGTCCTGATATAATTGTGTTTATATTAGTGTCCCAGACTGTCTGGTTTTAAGTTGGATGTTGGAAGACTGGAAGATTTTTTTTTTCTTAATGCTTTCAGAACATCATTGCTTGTTATTATGCTACAACTCAAAATGAACCACAAATGGACCAGAGTATTGACCCACGTCATCGACAGAAAACACTTGAGTTCAAAGGGTATCTTCTGTCTGAGTATTGTGTTGAATATCAGATTTTATATTTATAAAATGGTACTATATTGCTATAATACCATTTTTCAAAAGAACACTATGAGTAAAGATTTATGTTATCTGAAATCCTCTCTTGTTTGGGGTGGCTGGGGTATTTTTCCCTCCTTTATTCATGAGCTGTTCTGTCATATTTGATTGGAGTCTAATCAAATGCAATTAAGGTTTTTTGGAAGGTGAGAAAAATTGTATCAGTGCATGTTGCTGTGGCTGAATGAAGGGAACAATTTATGTCTTTAGTGCACAGAAAAATATATTAAAGCTGACTATAGAAATGACTGGATAATGCAAAATGTGATTGTAATTCAGATTTACATTCTGAATCATGTCACTCCTCAAAGAAAGTTTCATTATTATAATATAAAGGAACTGAAACACTACCCTAACAAAAAAAGTCAATCACATAACTGGCTGTGATTAGTTCTACATGCACTGATGCTCATACTGAATCTGGCATTTCATTTGTTAAATCTGTCTGATTTCCCCAACAAGTATTTATTAAAGGCTTTTGTACCTATGAGGTTTACAATTTTATTTCATATGTAGCATTGGTGATGTCTTCATTCATTTTTTTCTATTTAAAAGAAGACCCAGAAACACAAGCTCGCACCTCTTCTGTCACCTGCTGACATCATGCGTGACAGTGAAATGCACAGAGCTAGAGAAGAACCCTCATGGAGCTGACGAGGCTGATAACATAGGTTTTGTTTTGACTCAGTCAGAGTAACGATGTGTATCATCTCTCTTAAAGATTAACCTGTTCTAACTCATCCTGGGTCTCAGGGCTTTAATTTCCCAAGGAAAAAAAAGACACACCCACATAAAAGATTCCTCCATTTCTTTTCAGAACTATTCACCTTGGATTAACGGATCTTTCTGGAGGATGAGGGTGTAAAGCATTGGCAAACAACCAGTATAGATTAAAAACACAACTGTTTTCAACATTGATAATAATAAGAAAATTCTTGCTGGCGAACCGCTTAGATCAGGGGTGTCAAAATCAATTCCTGGAGGACTGGAGCCCTGCAGAGTTTTGCTCCAACCCTGCTCCAACACACATACCACATAGTTTTCATGTGTGTTTAATTAGGGTTGAATCTAAACTCTGCAGGGCTCCGGCCCTCCAGGAACTGAGTTTGACACCCCTGGCTTAGAGCGTGTTCCAGAAATGTCATTCCCTTTATCATAACCACGAGTTTCATCTGCTCAGCTGTAAATATTAATGATGGCGTCAATTTTGCCATATCATTTGGAGTCCGATTCAGACCCTGAGAATGTTTATGAACAAGAGGATCGTGCAGAAACTTTGCAAGCACAAATAAAGGTGAACAGCATCTATTCACCATGTTGACAACATGCTACAGGCCTTGCCCTTGGGCAGGAATTATTTTAATGAGTGACAGTGTGTCATCACAATATCTGGAAGAAGCGTGTTTTGTAGTTTTTCAAAAGTGTTAAAGAGAATATATGCTTTTAGAATGGAATCTTAGCTTTGTAACCTTGCAGATTTTTTTATGCTCAAACAGCAACATTACACACTAATTAAAGTTGAAAAAGCATAACAGGACCCCTTTAAAAATCTTCATTCTTATATTTTATTTCCAATTTACTAAATCTTCTCCATCAAGGGCTCTTTAATTCCAGTCCTGGAAGGCCAGTGTCCTGCTGAGTTTAGCTCTAACCCTAACTAAACACACATGAAATCAAGCTGTTCAAAACTGATTGCAAATTACAGACAGTTGGGTTAAATTAGGTTTGGTACTGCAGGACACTGGCCCTCCAGGGCTGGAGCTGAAGAGCCTCAGTCTGTGATGTTGCACCATCAGGTCCTGTTAGGTGGCCTGGTGCCCTTGGTCTGAACTCTGGGCTGAAATGACTTTATCCTGTAACACGTCTGTGGTAGTGGAAAGGTGTCTATTTTAGGAGCGTGTTTTTCTTGCCGTACTGTAATTTATACTTCATAGGGAGAGCAGGTGCTGGTAAGCTTACTGTATGAAAGGACAGTAAGTGTACTTGACTGCTAATGTCAACAGTAGTAAGTTTACGTGTAGGTACTTTGGCGTGAGTGTATGAGCAAGTGTACTTTGATTTGTTGGATGTTAGCTCCATGGTAAGCTGCAGAATTATTGCTGAGTCAGCAGTGGCTTCAGGTTCACAATCTGAGCTGCATGCATAGACAAAAAGAAAAGAATTTAGTGAACACATTTGTTCTGTCAACAGAGGAAGCTGCCAACAGGCATCTGGCAGCTCAGCCTTCAGTACCTGAAACTTGAGGTACACCTCACATTCCTGTTTTATAAGCTGAGAGAGAATGACAAAGAGAGAAAAAAAATTAAATCAGAAACTATGCTGTTAATTATATTTTCAAATATTTCAAATTTCTTTGTATTTGTGACTTAAAAGATTATCTTCACATTTAAAAGAGGTTTAGTGCTATTTAGTGCATATTGGTATGTTGCTTTTATTTCATTTCATTTATTTATTTGTTTGTTTGTTGGCATTCATCCTTTATTTTATCCCTGATCCTAATTAACTTCTAGTCTGCACTTAATATAAAATATAAATACTAGACATGCTCAAACAGACATGCTTGTTTGCTGATTGTCAAAAAGTTGACAATCAGCAAACAATTTTCAGATAAAAAGATAAACGCTGAACATTACAAAAAAAAAAGTAGAAATGGCAACATAATAAATGAAATGTATGGAAGCCCGTTTCCGCCACTAAATAAAAAAATATAATTCTGTAAGTCATAATAATGAGAAACTATGAGAATTTGTTAGAAAAAAAACAAACTGTCAGCACAGACAGTACTTATTTGACCTGACATAACATTTGTAGTAAATGCAAAGCTTTGTAAGTAGACTTTTTATACTTTTATAAGCCTGTGTGTTGAGGCTGTTGAAGTGTTGGGTATTTTATTTTAAATGCAGACCAGTGTATGAAACACTGATGGATCCATGCTTGGATTTCCAGTGGGAGACTAAAGTTGAGTCAAAGCCTGTATTTCACTTGTCTCAATACCTTAATTGTTTGTGGAAACAGCTGCTAAAGACCCTCTGTGGGTTTAAGACTCCATGCTGGCACTGAACACGTCCCAGAATTCCTCTTGCTCACAAATGAACCTTATCCAGCAAGTGTTGGCAAAAAACTACAGCAGCTGCCAATTGAAACTCCTCTCATCCTAACACTTTCATTACTAACTGTGGTTTAAAACCAAATAATGAAATACTGTATAATTGTTAAATAGCACCCCTATAAAAAACACTATTTGCATCAACCAAAAATAGTTGGGCATTTTAGGTGTGAGTTTCTGAGAAGCTGAATGGACAGTGATTGTATTATTACCCTGATTAATCATTAAATTCCTGCTCTCCATTCTTGGGCATGTTTTGATCTGCCCTCTTACCTTGTGCCATATATGAAGAATTGTGCATGTCTAGATCATTCTCCAGGACTATTAGAGAAGACGCCACCAACGTTTCTAGCATATCTCAGCACTTTATCACGTCACAGAGTTCAGAGTATAAGAATCGATCTGAACTGGCCCAAAGCAACACGTATGACAGTATGACCTAAGACAGATACTCAAATCTCGAAATATAAACATATCTTAAATTCTGTCCAAACTGAATAACAAAGTCTGTGAATGAAATCTTTCAAATCACAGAGGTCTTGTCAGGCATGCACTTAAACTTTGCAAAAGCATCCAAGCATGAGTGTGTTCAGTTGATCTGTGCTTGCAAAAATCATGTAGCAGCACGGATCACATTTAACATGCACACATACACATACACGCCACACCCTGAATTACATTTCTATTTGGAAAAAAAACTGCTGGAGTGATTTGCATTTGATGTTGGGACAAGAAAAGACCTGTGTTATTCCAGGCCCTGACACAGAAGGTGTTATGTTCACCTCTCTACTGACACGATTAAGATCTCATATCCAGTGCTATCCCAGATAATAAATACGAGCTAAGCAATTCTTCCTGTCTTTTTCTCCATTTTAGGGTGGATCCATCCTTACAATAATGCAGAAAAGAAAAGCAAGATAAACAGTTTGCTATTCGACACTCATGCACGCACGCACATTTTTACTTACTTGGCTATTCCTGTCTCTCTCTTTCTAGAAGTTTGGTAATACAGGCATTCATGTGGTATCATGTCTCAGTCTTCCTCCTGGACGTCCCACCGCTGCACAGTTTAGATGTCTCACTAAAGGTGTGGTCACATTTCACTTTGAGAAGGTGAAATTTCTTCTGAACCTGCAATACATTTTTGCAACAGGATATGATGTCACATTCTACTTCTAATAGGGAAGTCGTGGCCTAATGGTTAGAGAGCCAGACTCGTAACCCGAAAGTTGCAGGTTTGAGTCTCGTACCAGCAGGGATTGTTGGTGGGGGGAGTGAATGTACAGCGCTCTCTCCCACCTTCAATACCATGACTGAGGTGCCCTTGAGCAAGGCACCGAACCCCCAACTGATCCCCGGGCGCCGCAGCAAAAAATGGCTGCCCACTGCTCCGGGTGTGTGTTCACTGTGTGTGTGTTCACTGCTGTGTGTGTGCACTTAGGATGGGATGAATGCAGAGCACTAATTCCGAGTATGGGTCACCATACTTGGCAACATGTCATGTGTCACTAATAAATAGTAAATTATAAAAAATACTGTCTACTCTACTTTTTTGCAACACCAAACATGCAGCTTAGAAATTTGTATTCTTTGTAGACTGAACCTCTGATCTTTACATAGATCCTCTATTGGTCAAAAAGCTAAAAGCAAAAGATTTTTTGTCTCCATTCTGCTACTGTGTGTATAAATGGAAGTGAACACTATATAAAATCTTAATTTTACACCCCCGGTTCAGATCATGCTCAATAATTACTGATCGATTTATAGCGACAAATAGCACTCACTCAACCCCATTTAAGTGAATTGAACAGTGAAATGAAACATGACAAAATGATCTTAAAACAAATTCATCTTTTTTTTTCATTCTGTGCTTTACCATCTCTGGCCTGCTTCTCTTCACTTGTCTCTACTTAATTACTATAGTGCTGAGGGTGCAGCTACAGCAGAGTCTCAAACACAAGTCTTTTCCATCAAAGGTCACTTCCCCTTTGCCATATGTGTAATGGAGTAGATTAGCTAGATAATGGGAAAAACTGATCAAAGATCAGCTCTTAACTGGAGCTCTACTCATAACAGATTGTTAAAGCATACCACTCTATCTTCACTCTGTCAGGAGGTTGTGTCTGAATCTGTGTGATTCAAGACCAGGTGTAGAAGTTACTCACAAATGATGATGTGTAGTGATTAAAAGCTCAGGGTTAGTGATATTTATAGAAAATGCCCTTGTCT